ATCAGTGGTTCTCAACCTTCTGGCCCTTTAAATACAGTTCCTCATGTTGTGACCCAACCATAAAATTATTTTCGTTGCTACTTCATAACTGTAATGTTGCTACTGTTATGAATCGCAATGTAAATATCTGATATGCAGGATGGTCTTAGGTGACCCCTGTGAAAGGGTCGTTTGACCGCCAAAGGGGTCGCGACCCACAGGTTGAGAACCGCTGCCTTACACTGACCTCCTGACCCTCGGCCGCCCCTTTCCTCCTCCCTCACGCTGCTCCAGCCACACTGCCTCAGGGCCTTCGCACTCTTTCCCTCTGCCTGGCATTCCCTTCTCTAGGTGCCAGCAGAGCCCACTCCTCTGCCTCCTCAGTGTCTGCTCAAGTGTCAGCGTGTCAGTGAGGCCTGACCAGCACCTGCCCCTGCCCGGGGTTCCCCACCTGCCTCCTGGTGCTTTACTTTCACACACCCCCATATTACCTACTGTTTCTATTCTTTTATTTTAATCATCTCTCTCCTTTCACCCCCAACTAGAATGTAAGCTCACGAGGCAGGGGCTTCTTGGGGTTCAGTGATGTGTCCCCAAGATTCTAGAACAATGCTGGCTCCTAGAAGGCTCTCAATCAATGTTGATGGGGTGGGTGGAGAAGACACTGGACTGAGGCGCAGGGCACCTGGGCTCTGGGCCTGGCTCGCCACCGCTTGGCTTTGTGAACAATGTTGCAGGTGCGGGAACAGGTCTGAGAGAGGAGTCACGTGTCTAGAGCTGGGTTAGCAGCGGGGCTGTCTGGCCCTCACCCACACCATCTGGCACCGGGGCTAGACGCAGGGAGACCACCAGCAGTGCTGCCCCTTGGGGTTCCCGGGCATGCCGTTAACGAGGCCTGGGCTGGGAGGCTCTGTCCCATAGCATCACCGGTGCTCATTTGCTTGCAGAGGGGACCAGGCCCTCTCGGGTGGCCCAGGGAGGCCTCCTGCAGCAGCCACCCGACCTGGAGCTTACCAACTCCTGGAGCCACCTGGATGCCCCTGGCCTGGCCAGGTGGCCCCCCGGCAGGGAGGAGTCCCCCAGCTTCCCTCTCCGTGGGGAGCTCAGCTGTAGGGCAGAGGGAGTCTGCTCCTTCCCCACGAGGCCGCAGGCCCCCGTCGACGGCAGGATTGATGGCAGGATCGCAGGTGGGTAGGGGGCTGTGTTCTGGGGGATGAGAGGGTCTGTGAGGATGGGTGTTAGAAAGGCGCTTGGCTTTGCTCTGTGGGGTGAGAGGGTCTGTCTGTGCTGGGCGGTAGGGATGTGGGGGACTGTCCTGTGTGCTGGCCACAATCTGGCCACAGCGAGCGGTGCCGCCCGGGATTGCCAAGCCCACCCCATCTCCAGAGCAGAGACAGTTAAGCCAGTCACAGTCAGGCAGTTGGTCAGGTTCGCATTAAAAACCTTATTTACTTTTAGGGGGATGAGAAAAGATAAGCCAAAGAACTTATATACTTATATGCATAGCCCATGGACATGGGCAGTAGGGGGGTGAAGATCGGAGGGTAGGGGTGGGTAGGGGCTGGGAGGAGGGGGTAAAGGGCAGAAATTGGGAGATATCTGTAATACTATCAACAATACAAATATATTTTAAAAAACCCTTATTTACTTTTAAATAGTTGAGCACTTACTATGTGCCAGGCATGGCTCTTTATTTAATCCCACAACAGCCCTTGAGGTTGGCATTATTATTAGCAACAGTCACAGACAAGGGAAATGAGGCCCAGAAAGGCCGAGTGACTTTCCCATGTTTGCACAGCAGTAAGTGGCAGAGCTGGGCTGTGGAGCAGGCGGTCTGGCTCCAGAGCCTGAGCTTACAGGTGATCGCTTCCATTTTACACTTGTTAAAGGATTGGCTAATAGACAGGCAGACAGACTGACAGATAAGCACCAAAGGGTGTTTTCTAGCCATAGTGGGGCCACTATACTTATTCTAAGATACCATTGAGGTGGAAGAATATGGCTTCTGGTTTGGAAATGCCTGGGAATCACTGAAACACAATTATTTTATTTAGAAAAAGATATATACTAGAGGCCTGGGGTCCCTCGGCCTGGCCTGTGGGATTGGGCCAAAACAGGCTCTCTGACATCCCCCAAAGGATCCCGGATTGCGAGAGGGCACAGGCCAGGCCAAGGTACATGCCCTCGACCGGAATCGAACCTGGGACCCTTCGTCTGCAGGCCGACGGCCTATCCACTGAGCCAAACTGGTTTGGCACTAAGGTTTTGTTTGGTTTTATCTGTTGTGTTCTTTCATGCTCCCATCAGGCCCTGTGAGGAAACTGGCTTGGAGGCCCAGGTAGTGGGATTGGAGCTGCGGGTGCTCCCGGGCTCCCTCTGCTGCTTGCCCTCCGCAATGGCACGTGGGTGTGCGGAATCTCCCTTAGGGTGAGGGTGGATGTTAGCGCCTGATTTAACAGAGCCCAGGGGCTGAGTGACTGGGCCAGGGGCAGACAGGGACCTGGAAGCCGCCTGCCCCAGGGAAGGACCCTGGCTTTGGCGTCTGCAGAGCTGGGTGAGTCTGCCTGCCTCTCAGTCCACTGCCTCATCTCTTCCTGGGGATGAAGGCAACACCCCCTAGAGTTAGGGTGACTGGATGAGACAACGAGTAATGGCCCCCCAGTTCTGCTAATACTGCTGTCGTCTCCATCCTGCTGCACGCTGGGCCCAGCCTCGCGGGCCCCGAGCGCCTTCCTCATGCCGGGCCTCACAGCGCCAGGAAAGCCGCCTGCACCCTGTGCTCCATTGCAGACTGCCGGCTGCTGTGGGACTACGTGTACCAGCTGCTCTCCGACACCAGGTACCAGTCCGTCATCAGGTGGGAAGACGAGAACGCCAGGATCTTCCGAGTCGTGGATCCCAACGGGCTCGCCAGGCTCTGGGGGAACCACAAGGTGAGCCTCAGCCAGCGGGTGGGAGGCCTCAACTTACCCAGAAGCGGACGGGGCAGGGGTCAGAGCGCACCCTCAGCACTGGGGCTCAGTCCTTACCTGGGGGGGTCAGCAGCAGCTCCAGGAAGCGTTGGGGTCCTTCTACTCTGGGAGGTCCTGAAGGTCAGACAGCGGCTTCCTCAGGAGGGGACTGGCCCTGGAACTTGGGATCTTGCCTTCTCACCGCTTGCTCCCACCTTTGCTCAGCACGGGGACCTTTCAGAGCACGTTTACATGAGTTGCCCGTCGATGCCGTGGGGTGGTCGGGCCGGATGGGAACCGGGTTGCCCTGGGGAAGCCGGGACAGGAGCCAGGTCTCGGGCCTGCAGGGGCATCTGCTGTCGGGGCTGGGAAGGCCCGGGAAGGGCTGAGACCAGCATTCCCAGCGCGAGGAGTGCCCACACCTAAATGGGTGGGCGTCTGCAGGGGATTCTAGGAACTAAGGACTTATTTTAGTAAGAATCAGGATTAAGAAATCTATCATGTCAGTCTCATGATTTACAGTGGTGATACAAAGCAAGTGTCCTTGTCTATAAATTAATTCACTTAAGTAAAAAATGAGTCTTTTAAAGAAAACTATTAATAATAACAATAATTGGCAATACGTAGCATTCCTTAAAAGGGTATAGCATTTGATAGGCAGGCACTGCTCCGAGGGTTATATTTTACTAACTCATTTATTTACTCCTCACGACAGCCTCGTGAGGGCAGGTAGGTATCAGACGGGGAAACTGAGGTACGGATCGGTTTATCAACTTGTCCAGGAGTCTGCAGCCAGGAGGTGGCAGGGCAGGGACTTGAACTCAGACTGCAGCCCTGCACGCCTCTGTTTTGTGGCCTCTCAGGACGGCCGGTGGCTGGAAGGGTGCAAATGACTAAAGTTTGGATGTGCTCTTTGGCCCAACCCCTGCACAGTACAGGGGAGAAACTGAGGCTCAGAGAGTAGTAAGTTCGTGTAATGAGCACAGACTACATGGCAGGCACCATGCTACGTATTCTCACGGATTAGCAAGTTCATCCCTACCACAAACCTGTGAGACGGATGTTCTCGTCCTCGTCTCAGAGCCGGGCACACGGGTTCAGAGAGGTAACACCAGTCCGGCCACTTTGGCCTGCTCTGCACTGCCCGCCCTGCGGAGAGAGGAAAACGTCCCCTGGCCGAAGTCACTCGGCCCCTTGCCAGGCTATCTCTATGATGACGTCGCCAACTGCATGTATATTTATTTGTTACTGCTGGTGACATTAGCTTTTTAAGAGCTACACGTGACCCGCTCCTGCCCCCGGTTCTCAGCCAGGCAGATGAGAGAACCGCCCCAATGTGTCTCCCTGGCCTTCCCCTGTCTTCCTCCTTCCAAACTCAAGAGAAATCTCTCAGAACCCTGGCTGCTCCCTTCCAGGCGTGGGAACCATGGGAACCGAGGCATGGAAGGGGCAGGTGGAGAGTGGGGGTGATGTGGCTGCTTTGCCTCCCAGAACCGCGTGAACATGACCTACGAGAAGATGTCGCGTGCCCTGCGCCACTACTATAAGCTGAACATCATCAGGAAGGAGCCCGGCCAGAAGCTCCTGTTCAGGTGAGCAGCCTGGGCCGAGGGGCCCAGGGAGGCGGGGCAGAGCTGGGTGGGCAGGAAGCCCTGCAGCTAGGCAGTGGCTGGGCAGCGGCTGGGCAGCGGCTGACTGTGCTGGGGCCCGACTCCAGGTTCCTGAAGCTGCCCGGGAAGAGG